AATTTGAAGCATTGTTGTACTACAGATATTTGCATGCTATTTATGGATGAAGTGTGCTATGCTTAGAGTGTTGTGGGTTTGGTTTAGCTAACCGGACAAAATATCATTCGTTTTAGGTAAATTATGTTTGAACTTTGCTGCATTTCATCGTGTTTCATGAAATTCGTTCCGTTTGTTCAAATTTATTGTGAAATGGATGCGGGCACGGTGGATGGTCGGCTCCCGCATCACTGTTCGTGGACTAGTCCCAATCGGTCATGGACGAATACAATTTCCCATTTAGGGGGTCAGAGTTGCACACAGCCAAAAGTAACAAGTCTAACTATAAAATAAGTCAACATAATGGGACCAGTAAACTTTAGCTATAGTTTCAATAATGTTCTCACTAGTATGTACTACGTCTAATTCGAATTATGTGGTTCCTTTTTGTAGTTTCCACTTCTTGCCAACATATTGAGCGATCACACTAATGTAGTCTTGTTTTGTGCAACCACTCCAGTTACCAGATGTTAAAGAGCCTGAAAAAGTGCATGTGGTAAAGTATGCCTTTATTTTCTTAAGACCATTTTTGCATAACTTTCTCATATCCCTAGTTGTAGTTTGTCTAGAAACTGGTTTGAAATTAGGAGTATGAGCCATCTAAAATAATAAAGGATACCCGGGGGCTTGATGTGGGAATTGGTTGATGAAAATTTCAGTTGGTAACATGAGAACCAAAATTAAAAATATATATGACTTATTATATTTGATTATGTATAGTTGTAATAATATTTATTCAATACATGTAGAATGATTAAATGGAAACATTTTTCTATGCATGATTGAATGTTGCGGTGGGTCATTTTGCATGCATGATTGCATGTTGAGGTGTGCCTTATCGCATTCGTAATTGTATGGTGAGGTGACATGCTTTTATGTTGAGATAAATAAATCAGTAGGGTCGAATCTCTTAGGTATATATAGGATTTTGTAAAAGCGACGGACTCACGAAAACATAATGGTATATCATTAGCAGCAATTAAACGACAAAGAGCTTCTACGAACATTAGCATGATAGCGAAAATTATGTATCTGATGGTTTCCCAATCCAGGGTCTTTCATCACGTCGTTTGCTAGTCAGGTGGGTTGGCTGAGGACCCCTAAATCGGCTCACTCAGTTGGGCTCACCCTGCTCGTTGGCCACCTCGCTCGCTAGCTCACTGTTAAAGAAACCACTAGGTGTTGGTTCTTAAAGAAAGAGGCACCCTATTTTCTAAAATGAAGTCATGAAATTGTCAAAAATATGAAAATTTTGAAAAAGTATGTGAATAAAAAATGATCATAAATTTGAAGAGCATTCACGAGTTTGAAAAAGTTTGTGAATTTAGGATAAGTTAGTGAATTTTAAAAAGTTCATGGGTTTGAAAATAGTTCATGGATTAAGAACACTTCATGACTTTTTGAAAAAGTTCACAAATTTTAAAAAAGTTTGTGAATTTTCATAAAGTTCATATTTTTAAAATTACTTATTTGAAAATTTTACAAAAAAATAGGAAATAATTCATGAATTTGGAAAAAAAAATCACCAATTTGAAAAAAACCCGAAAAAACCGGGCCGAAAAAAACAGTAACGAAAATAAAAAGAGCGGAACCTTCCCAAAATCGATTGGGAGCTTCACAGAAACGTGCGTGCGTAGATGGGCCGGCCCAGTAAATCTAGCGAAGGGAACAGCGTGACCGGCGCTAAATAGGATTTCGCCGCATGGACTTCCTTCTCCGCTCCGCGAACCAGCCCACCGAACCGAACCACACTCGTCTTCTCCTCCTCCCCGTCGTCTTCTCCACTGGACTCCCCTCGACTCGGCTGGAGGCGGCGTGGACGTGGTACGGTTCCTTCACCCCAACGGTAAGGAAGCCCTTCGCCCGCCTCAGATCCTTGATCTTTCGCTCGCAAATCGAACTCGTTCTCCCTCCGGCAACAACCCAGTTAGTCGCGGATTGTTTGCTCTTGGGCCTTGGCGCGTGGCGATTGAATTCTCGGGTCGCGGCGGCTTGCGGGATGCATCCGCCCGCTGCGCATCCCGTTAGGGTTTACTGCCTTTTACCCCCAAATCCTTCCATTTTCGTGCGTGTTTGATATGATGGCTTTGACATGATCTCGTTTCCCCCAAATATTGTGGGGTTTAACTAAACCCTCACCCGGTGCTTTAAGTCTGCCCCTAGAGTCTAGAGAGGAGTCGAGTTGATGTATTTCCTGAGAATTGGGGTAAAGATGTGCTACTCGTATTGATACTAGAGCAGGTAATTCTTTTAGAGTCTTCAAAAGTCTGGAATTCATTGTGAGAAAGTGTCCCTCTTTTTATGGCGCCTGACTATAGAACCAGGTTGAACTTTGCATTTGAAGGACATATGATCTGGGTCATTTTCTCATTAAAATTATGTTTCTCAGTTATCTTATCTCGAAATTGCACAGTAATCTGCAACAAAGAATTAACTGGTGCTTACAGCACGGTAATGGACTTGGTGCTTGTATGTACTGGTGTTTTTTTCATTTAGTACTGATCGATCATGTTAAGACTTAAGAGTGTTGTCATGCCCTCATAACAAAAGCTTGAGCCGACTAATTTGAGCAGGCAAGAAGCTGTGATTTTCTTAATAACTGGCAGGAAGATGTGATTGATTAGGTCATGTTCAGTAAGTTTATAGCAATAGTAAACCCTTTGTGGCCTTTTGGTCATTACAGTAGGCTACCCCACTTTCAAAATTATCATAAATAATAGTAGAAATCTAGTAGTCCCGGTTCAATCCAGAACCGGGATTAAAGGGCGCGGCCACGTGGAGCTCCACCTTTAGTCCCGGTTGGTAACACAAACCGGGACTAAAGGAAATTTTAAGATTTTTTTTTTATTTTCAAATTTCTGAATTATCTTAACCTCTAGTCTGTAATCACCACCCCTCATCACTTCTCAATTTATCCTCTAATCACCCCTCATCATTCCAAATCATCTAACTTCCCAAAGGGTCACCCATCCTCCCACTCCCCCAGCCTGAGCACGCTTAACTTCTGGGTTCTATTCTCCCTCGCTCCAAGTCTGCACTTGTTGTTTTCCTGACAATACTAAGATGTCGATCCTATTAACCTTCAGGAATTTTGCTTGAGCATGAAGTGACACATTTCATAGTTTTATTTTAAAACTATTGTTTTAAAAAACAATAATTATTTAGTAACACTAATATTTGTTGAATAATTAGTTTGACCATTGTTTGACCACAGTTTGACCAGATTTGACCAAAATTGAAATAACAGAAATAATTATTTAGTAACACTAATATTCTAGAATAATTAGTTTGACCATTGTTTGACCACAGTTTGCCCACTGTTTGAATTTTTTCAAATTTTTTCACTCTAGATCTTAAAAGCCCCGTAACCTTTTTTCTATTAGGTTTTTGAGGATTTTGAAAATGTTTAACGGGGTTCCCCCGGTTAAATTCGGATGTAACTTTTTGAGTAGATGATTTTTCATATAAAAAACTTTTTCATCCGAGTTAGTATGCAAAAGTTATGCCCATTTTTACAAATTTCAGAGAGATTTTGCAAATAAAGTCAAAATTCACATTTGCAAATTTTCCCAACAACTAGACCACATATCACATGGGAAACTTATTTTCTTTTATTTTTTTGACATTTCCATCATTTTCTTTTATTTTTTTTAAACTGAAAAGGCGATCCAACGGGGGGGTAGATTTTGAAAATGGGACCTTTAGTACCGGTTCGTGGCACGAACCGGGACTAAAGGTCTCAACCCCATTAGTCCCGGTTCGTGCCTCAAACCGGGACTAAAGGTCTAATCTTTAGTCTCGGTTTGAGGCACAAATCGGGACCAATGGTTGTGGGCCAGGAGCGAGGCCCATTGGTCCCGGTTCATCCCACCAACCGGGACCAAAAGGTCCAGATGAACCGGGACCAATGGCCCACGTGGCCCGGCCGGCCCTCTGGGCTCACGAACCGGGACCAATGCCCCCATTGGTCCCGGTTCTGGACTAAACCGGGACTAATGGGCTGACCCGGCCTAGACCAAAGCCCTGTTTTCTACTAGTGAGTGCTAATAGTTGGGATCTTGGTAGTTGGGATGGTAGACCACAGCAAGAGATGTCCTCTCTAGTGTTGACTTAAGCATAGGCAAATGAACTAGCCGGGATCTTGTGTATGCAATAACGCTACAGACCACACACGGTCCAATACACTGGTGCCTGCGTGTGCATGTCAATTGCGCATAGAGGTGTTTGATTGCTGAGCTGTAGCCGCGTTGGTTAAATGGGAATCACCTTATTGTTTTGGATTTTCTTATTTTCCTTAACTATAGTTTGTATTGAGGTTGGTGCGAAATTTTCATACAAGAATGCTTCAGCACTATTCTTTTGGTAAATTTGTATAATTTGGCAAAGAGTTCCCTCTTTAGAATAATTGTGTATGTTATACAGCAAATAGGTTTAAATTCCTGAGAGTGTATAATTCACAGCAAATAAAAACCATGAATGTGAGCTTTCACTATAGCATGCGTAGTATATTATTTTGTTTTCTATAAAAAGTAGAAACACCATGGCTCTGTGTTCATCTGTAGGAAATCTCAAGTAGAAACACTTTGTCCTTTACATTTCCCCCTCTTTACTACTACCTCCGATCCTAATAAGTGTCGCAGTTTTGAACTAACTCCAGTTCAAAACTGTGAAACTTATTTTGGATCGTAGGGAGTACTCATTCTGTAAAGAAATATAAGAGCGTCTAGATCACTACTTTTATGGAGGGAGTAGTATTTTCTTTATTGCTGATAGTTTGATTTGATGTTTGTTTATGGACAGTAAATTTGCAATGGGTTGCCCTATATAATAGAAGGAAATCTCGTTTTTGTTTTTCTGCCCTGTAATCCTAAAGCACGAAGCATACTATTCAGTGAAGAATTGTTGCACCACTTGAAGGCCTATGTTCATGTTTAAATTTGACTTTTGGCAGGTAGTCAACCATGGTTTTCCTTCAGACAGAGATGTGCTGGAATGTACTGATCTCAGCTGGTCAGCTGAGCCCCAAGGGTCTGCTGCTCCGCAAGTCTATCATTGTGCGTCTTCTGGAGGACGTAACCAACAGGAAGGCCTCCAAGGAGCATGGCTACTACATTGCTGTCAATGGGCTGAAGGAGATATCTGACGGGAAAATTCGTGAGCTGACCGGAGATGTTCTTTTCCCGGTCACATTCACCTGCATCACTCAGAGGCCTATGAAGGGCGATATCTTGGTCGGCTCCGTGGAGAAGATCCTCAAGCATGGCGTGTTCCTCAAATCTGGGCCGATGGAAAACATCTTCATGCCGGCGAAGTCAATGAGCGACTACAAGTACATGGGCGGTGAGAACCCCATGTTCATGAAGGACTACTCGAAGCTGGAGAAGCACACCATCGTGCGCTTCAAGGTCATGGGGTTCTGCTGGATGGAAGCAGATCGCCAGTTCCGGCTCCTCGCGACGATGGCTGGTGATTTCCTTGGGCCGCTGTGATCAGCTTCGACAGGCTAACCATGGTCCCTGATTTATATTTTGTTATCCTGGTGGGTGATTGGATGGGTCTGCGATGTGTTACGTCTAATCTAATTTGCTGTCTGTACTTCGTTGTCGTGATGACTGATGGCACATAGTTGTTTTAACTTGTCGAGTTGATGCGAGCTCTAGCTGTGATGCCAACGATATCTCGCTCCATATTTCAACACATCAGTGCGCGGGCGTGGGTGTGTGTGGTTTGAATTTACTAGGATCATGTGCATCGGAATTTCTATCCCAGGCAAAAATGCATAATCCATTTACTCGGACTTTAGAAACTCTATAATAAACATACTCATGCAGGAAGCAACAGCATGGCAAGTCCACAAGCAGGCGACTTCGAGCGCCAGGTTCCCGAGTAAATCACAATTGACATGACTGGGGGAACCTTAAACCTTGTAAAAAGAATACGAAACTACTATACGGGATGACGTTTCCTTAGCCGATTTGATGATGATAGTAAATCTGCGGCTGGGCTGCAATTTCTACTATGCATGGACGGTTCTAACCATAGCGTCATGCAAACATCGGCTGGTGCCTGGTTCTGATGCACAAGACTCCTGAACCTCGTGTACAGGTGGAGGTGGGGCGATACAAGGACCCGTCAGCAATACTTGAATGATGACACTTACGATGGTGGGTAACAACACTTCTGGTGCAAAATCTGTTTGAGTTCAGAGGAGGATATGATGCATGCATTACTGAACTGTACCCATGCGAGAAGGTTTTGGAACGAAGCCCCGCAGTGACTGCATGTTAAGCGACCAGACCTACACCCTCTTACTTGGGTTAAGGATGTCTTGTGTGAGTCTCTGTTTTCAGATTCTGATAGAGCAAAACTTGTGTCTATTATGTGGGCTATTTGGACTTCACGCAACAACATCACACATGACAAAGGAGAGCTTGATCCTGTTCGGTCCATGAAGCACATACAGGAAGCTTTAGCGATTTTAGAGTTACCTCAAGATCATGCTCGGATCTTGCCTGGTCATGGTTGGAGGCCGCCGGATGATGGGTGGATAAAAATCAATGTTGACGGTAGCATTGCCATGGAGTCCCGCCGAGGAGGGGTTGGAGGGGTAGCACGTTCTCCGTCTGCTTTCAAGGCTGCATGGTGTAAGCCATACTATGGAATCACAGACCCTCTTCTAGCTGAAGCGTTGGCTCTTCGAGATGGCGTAATTTTTGCAAAGCTTCGAGGTTATGATCAAGTCATCTTGGAGACGGATAGCCAAGAGGTTGTTAACCTCTGGCACTCGCGCCATGATTTTTCAGTGGTGGCACCGATTCTTGACGAGATTGGGGAGCACGCCAGCTCTTTTAATTTTTTTCTTATTCAACATGTGTTGAGATCAACAAATTTTCCTGCTCACCTTTGTGCGAAGCAAGCTAGCACGATGGATGTAACAGATTGTTGGTTAGACTCTATTCCTAGTTTACTTGTAACTAGCCTCCTGGCAGATGTTGCCGGGGTGGTTTCTGTTGGATAAAACTTCCCAATTTGCCCCGCAAAAAAAAACAACACTTTTGGTGGAAGTTAAAAAAATACTTCCCGTGGAAGCATAGTTTCTTTTTCGCGCAACGAGAACATGCAAATTTTTTTCTTCAAAACCTAGGGAAAACCAAGCAAAAAACAAAACGAAAAACAAAGAAATACGAAAAAAATCCCAGAGGGAGCGCCAGCACGCGGCATGTGGAGGCGGTTGGACACACCACTTGCACTGCTACCACTTCACCAAAAGTGGCCCTTGAAGGTCACTCGGAAGGAGTAACCTCCGGTAAGTTGCTTCCGTGTTTCCTCAGCGCCTCCTACTTACCGCACAAGTCGCTGGTTAGCGACGTAACGCATATTCCAGCTTATATGGGCCGGCTCATTTTACGCTTTTCTCGGAGTTTGTTTTATTCAGGTTCTTGGCCGGTGTTTTTCCTTTTGTTTTTCGGGTTTTTTCCTTTTTCTTTTTTCAATATACGAAATTATGTATATTTTAACATTTTTCAACCTCATATTTTTTCGAAAATTGAAAAAATTTCAAAATTTGCGTCATTTATAGGATTCAAAAACATTTTTATTGAAATTTTGAACATGTTTTGGATTTGTGAACAATTTCTGAAATTGCGAACATTGTTTGTATTTCTGAAACAAATTCAAAATCATGAGAAAAACATTTAATTCACAGGTACAATTTGGAATTTGTGAACATTTTTCAAAATCACAAACACCTGTTGAATTCACGAACATTTTTTAAATCATATTTTTTTCAAATTGATCTACAATTTGGGAATTCATGAACAATTTTTAGATTCGTGAAAACTTTACAAACCCACAAATATTTTTGAATTCATGAGCATTTGTTGAATCCCATAACACCGTTTGTATTCATGAACAATTTTAAAATTCATTAATAGTATTTGAATTCTCAATTTTTTAAATCACGGACATTTTTTAATATTGTCACCATTTTTTATTTATGAACATATTTTAAATTCATGCTTAACTTAAAAATTCATGAACTTTTTTGAATTCGTGAATATTTTTCAAATTCGCTAAATTTTTTGAATTCATGAATATTTTTTGAATTAGTGCACATTTTAGAACTTACGAATATTTTCTTAATCTTCATACACTTTTTGAATTCGGAAATATTTTTTGAACTCCTGCACATTTTCAAACTTATGCATATTTTCTAGATTTCCGAACACTTCTAAATTCATGAACATTTTCCAAATCCATGAACATTTTTTGGTTTCATGATTTATTTTGAATTCATGAAGTATTTGTAGATTTCACAACATTGTTTTATCAAATTCTTATACATTTATCAACTTTTGGTGAACATTCTATGAATTTCGTAAAAATAAAAGAAAAAAATGAAAAGAAAAATGTGAGTGCGCCGCGCGCCCCACACTGGGCCGGCCCAAAACGACGCGGGTTGGGGCGTGTTTGCTCGCAGTTCCTTATGAGGGCCCGATGGGGAATATATCGGGTGTACCCACACTTGTGATGCTACCAGTGCCCCGGCCCGGATGCCATAGAACATTTTAAAAAATTGAAAAAAATCTCGCACATTGACATAACATCAATGTATGTTGTCACGAAATTTCGTATCAAAATATAAAACATTTCTTGAGATCTGGAATTGGCATCAATGCGATAATGAGCCAAAACTAAAACCCACCTTATGTTATGTACTACTGTTCAGTGATTAATTTGTCATTTTTCCCGAGCTATGTTTTGAATTTTGACTTCAAATTTATGACAACCTACATTAATATTGTGTGAATGTGCTAATTTCTAAAAACATTTTAAAATGTGCAACATAAGGTGGGTGCACCAGTTCGGCCAAGCAGGGAACTACGAGCCGTCAAAAATAAAAAGCAGAGAACTACGAACTTGCTGCGAGTCTAGTTGGGCAAATAAACACAACAAATACAACTTCAATTCATGATCCAGCTCGAGGCATTCTCCCTTGTGACTTGTGAGGCCAGATCGAGGAAGCTCTCACATTTCTGCCGTACTGCCACTTTCACCCCTCGACGGAGCATAAAGCGCGCTATAGGATTTCTTTCACTTTTCGTAAATTGGTGTTGCTTAACCGCGAAGTATGTGCGGCCTAGTACACATGGATGTGGTTTCTTTCCAGGCTAGTGCTTCATTAGCTTTAGCTTTGGATTGGAGTAGGGAGGGAAGATTCGGACGGGGGCAGCGGGGCTCCACCACGATCGCTGATCAAACGCCGGGCGGGGTGACCCGAAAAGTGGCTGCAGAGGCTGAGCTCCACTGAGCTCTATATACATTTCTCAGCCAAAATACCTTTTTCATAACTCAAAAAAATCTGAAAAAATGTTTTCATGTAGACATATACTTAAAGTATATATGTACAAATTTTCATAAACATATGTATTCATATGTGATGTATAAAAAAAGACAAATACACAGATTGAAATAGGCTTTTTCTTTGTTGTATTTGTGTCAGATTTTTGTCTTTTTTGTGTAGCATGCAAATGATCAAATTAGTTACTGAAAATTTATACATACTTAAAGAATATGCATATGTATTTGTACAAAAAAATTGGCATTTTTTGAAACTTTTAAATATATTTTGATTTTTTTTTTGGTAAAACGGGCTCCCTGGAGCCCGGTCTCTGCGACGCCTCACTCCGGGGTGACCGGCCTATCCATCGCCGTGATTCCCGCATTCACTCGTTGAGCGTTGGACCCACTGACTAGCGTCACTGCTCCGCCCGTGGAGACTCCACAGGAAGTCGTCGGCACAACCAACCCACTATCCGTACAGACTCTCGCCTGCCGTCCCTCTCTACATAAACAGACCTCACTCAGCTAGCTGCTGCTCTCTCACACGCACACTGCCAGTGAGTGAGCGAGCGAGCTAGTCTTTCTTCTTCTGAAACCATGTGCGAGTCCGCCTCCCTACTAGCTGCAGCCGGAGACCAAGACGGCCACCACCACCAGGGGGTGACCAAGGCAGCCGAGATGGACACGGGTGGCCTGCTGGACCATTCCCCGGCAGCCCTCGGCCCGAGCCCTCTTCCCACGCCGCCTCCACCGCTCGTGTTCTACCAAGACGATTACCGGTACTACTACGACGACGACAGTTGCCTCCAGGAGGACCAGGAGGGCGACGACGGCGCCTATCAACTGCTCCAGGACGAGGAGGAGGACGTCGCCGCCACCAGCTCGCTTGCTGCCAGGCTACGTGAGCTCGTTCGCCAGAAGCTGGCCGAGGTGAACGCCTCCAGCGCGGTCGTCGCGGGGCTCGGCCTCGTCGGGAGCGCCGTCGGCGCCTACTTCCTCTGGCCCGCGGCCGCGGCCGCCGCCACCGCCGCCACCATGGCAGCACCCGGGGCCGCCGGTTTCCTCATCTCCCGTGTGGCGTTTGAAGCCAACTCAAAGCTCTACTTCAAGATCCTCCGCACTGCCGGAGCAGCAGCGGCTGCCGCCGCTTTCGCCGTGTAGCTGCACGGGAGGGCTGGCCACGTACCTACTGCTTAGTTTCGTCCCACGCGCGCCGTTCGTGTGCTGGCCGTTTGCGTTGCTTATATATCGCCAATAATGGAGCGTCCGTGTGTAGTGGTTAATCTTTCAATCGATTGATACACTCTGGTATATCTAGTAGTACTCCATCTCTACGTTTTCAGTGTGTGTAAGGTTGGAGCTATGCCATCTGCGATAAGCTAAATCTTTGGTTTAAATTGTTCAAGCAACACTAAAGCTTCTTACTAGATGATGTTTGCTCCTTTATTTGTGTTGATCTTTAGATTCCCTGTTTCCTTTAAATTGCACTTCAGCTATATGTAAGTCGCCCGAAAAATAATTTTGAGTCCGTCAATTTTTGGACAGTTGATTTTTTGATTCAAGATTCATGTATCTCTTTTCTCCATGTTGTCCGTGTATTGTTTTGGGCTGTTTTTCTTTTTGACTGACCCCATATATTTAGGACAGTCAATTCTATAATGGGCCGAAGCCCATTCCAGTGCGATATAGCCTTCTTCTTTCTCATTTGTTTTTTTTTATTTTTATGCATTTTTTCTTCTGTATTTTTTATTTATTTAGTATAGTTGTTTTTTTAGTATTTTTGGGATGTTGGATGAGCTTAAACATATACATACAAATAATATGTAATATCTGCAAAATTTTAGTATTATATGATTATTCTTTGTATATTACAAAAAGTGCAATTTCGATGCATAGTTGTGTTCAAGTTTCTTTTTTTTATTCTTCTTCTTAAAGGGAAATATCAACACCACTAATTCATTATTTAATGTTCATTCTATTTTAAGGGTAATACCAATGCTACTAATTCAATTGTTCTTAGATTTTCTTTGCAAAAGTTCCACTTATATATATATGTATTCTTGCTGATTTTAAAATAGCGCAATTTTCATGTATATTTGTGCAAATTTTGTCAATGTTTGTTTTAGATTATTTTTTTTATTTTCTTTCTTCTTAAATGGTAATACCAATGCCACAAATATAGCATGTAATAAAAATAATGGCACAACAAAATAAGGGTATTTTTTGCGGGTAGAAAGATAAGGGTTTGACAAGTCGAATTTCATGTGGTTGTATGCATGTAGTGTAGCTAGATAAATTCTCCAAGAGCTTAAGAATCTTGCTAGGCTTGCACTAGCTGGATATCGCAACAACGACGCCTGGTCTCCTCTGCTTGTGTGAAAGTTCTTCTGGTACCTATGTACTATGTGCGTGTAGTTAATCAATGAGGATCACTAGATATGTCAGGCTAATTTATTAATTCACACACACATGTAATCTCCTCTGGTAAAAAATGTGGCTTACCCAAATACTAAACTCAGTCACCTGACCCCTAGCCGCTCCCTTTAAGTTGTCTTTAGGTCTTGCGTTTCCTTCTCTATCATAGCAGCGGTTCCCACAAGAGGCGAAAGGGAGGCGTCAAGGTTCCCTCGGTTGGCCGCCGGCCAGGCCGTGGGCTCCTCCCCTCTCCGGCGGCTGCTGCAGCGGCAGGAGAGTTGGGGAGCCCCGGATCTGTGCCCTCGGTCTGTACATAGTAGGGATAGAGTTTCAGGTACCAGCATTTCGATGGTGGCAGCGGCAACACGACGAATAAGTCTTCCTTGACCCGAGCCTCGTCTCGGTGTCTTCCTCGGAGGCGGCGACGTGGTCGGTGGAAGGTGGTGCAGCAGCGTGTTGGTGTTCGGCGTCGGCGGGCTTCTCTGCATCTTGTGGATTCTGAATTTGTTTGCTCTCGTTGGTGATGGCGCCTCGACATGTTCGTGGTTCGTGAAGCCGACGCAAGTGGTGATGCGGTGCCGATGTGGTTTCTCTCTGGCGTGCTGGTCCTGCTGGGCCGAGGTTGGAGACTTCCCGTTGTCAATAATCCTTGCGCATAACCATGGATTTCGCTAACTCCGGGAGGGAGCGGCGGCGGCGACGGCGCGCCCTCATCCCGCGCTGGTGTGGATGCTGGGTCGATTTCCCGGGGTTATGTTTGCAATTCTCTTCTTGTTTGGGAATGCATTGTATCACTACATGATGTCAATATAACTCAGGGTCTTATTTGCGCGAAAAAAAGTTGTCTTTAGGTCTCAACACCAGACGCAAGCTCCCTCGACAATATGTATGTATGAATGTTTCTATCATTGTGTTGTGGTATATGGTTGCTTCAGCATTGTCAGCCTGTTCCCTCAACTATATCTCTTTTGTTGGATTGCGTCTTCTCTGTGCTTTGATGTGTGTTTGCTTCAGGCCATGTCATGTGTTGTCCTCGCGTAGAAAGGACATGGCGCTATGTATGGCGTGATTCTGCATTCCTCCCGTACAAAGGATACGACACTGTATGGCATGATTCTACAAATGCATCTATATCCACACATGAGTTTCTTTCGGTTTGGATATTGGATTCTGAATCATCCAAGCATGTTGTGGGTACCTCAACTGAGTTTGAATCATATACTTAGCACCGATGCACATAGTGAAACAATATAAACTATTGATGGCACCTCATGACTTATAAAAGAAGTAGCATTGAACTATTCAATGTACACCCAGTGAACTTGCTTTCTTTGAGTGCTTTGATTGATCAGCTAGACTACCGAGTAACTCTTGACAAGAAAATATTCTTGATACGGGAGAGGATGAATGGAAGGGAACTTTGGAGAAGAACCATACATAGTGGATGGTGGTATATGGACCGTGAATTGTCCATGTCTGGTACTAGTCCTGTTTTGGATGTACTACTTGGAGGAAGTGAGACAATGTCAATGTTCCATCACTGCCATAATGGGGTCTATGGCCTTTGATAAGAAAATTTAGGTGTTTCTTGATGTAATGCGTGGAGCAAACAAGAGTAAGCTTACGCATTACCGGAAACATATTGTTCCATGACGACTTTTGCATGGAATTATCAAGAACTGCCATTGTTTGGCCTAAATCCATGACGGTTCCAAAAAATTGTCATATAACAAAAGTGGGTCGATGAGACCCACTTGAGTGATGCTTTTTATGATGAAATCTGGAAACAAAGGTGAAAACGGTTCATGATTTGGACACACGGTTAAATCATATGATTAGGTCATGGGCCAATAAGGGAAACGAACTAGCCCAATAAAGTACCTTTTTCTCTATTTATTTTTCCAAGAAAATAGTGTCTTAACTGGCACATTCTTGTAAAAAATAATATCCAATTTATATGAAATTGGAAAAATATGAATAATATATGGAAATTTTTATATAGTATATGTACTTAACCGAGGTTTGTTTTTTTCATTCCAAGGTCTTAGTTTACGTACTTGTAGTTCAAATTTCAGTTCTATCCCTAAATAGCTAAATTTCATTTAATGTGTAAATGATAGCAAATAAATTCAGAAAAATGCATAAATCTGACATGAACACTGTAATGTATTATGTTCCATGTAGAAAAAGTTTGGAGCATTTTAGATAAATACTTTTGGAATTTACATATTGTACCTTAAATTGGTTTTCCAAAAAGGGGGAAATAAAATTTATTCAATAACAAGATAAAACATGCCAGTATATGAGTGTGCAATAGTGTCAAATGAATCTCAGGTGTAAATGATAAATAAAATGATCCGTGGAGTCAAAACTTCATAGTTTGCCTTTGAATGCTATGAGTCTACATGGGAAATGCATGACTAACAAAAAAAGCAATGTACAATCCAAGTTTTGTGAAATTGATTGAACCATTAAACATGATCTAATGAGATTATAACCTGATCATGCCAAGTTTCAAATTTTCTAGACCACATTTATATTTTATTTAAAAAACAATAAGAAGCATGTAACCTTTGAATTTTACCAAACAAACATTTGAAAATTTGTTGATGTTCTCAATAGGAGCTAAGAAGTTATAGAATTACTTAAATATGAGTTTTTTTTTCATTTAGATGATTTTCTTAGATACTTGCAGTTCAAATTTGAATTATCTCCAATAAATAGCTAAAAATCACTTTTTTTATAGGATCAAGAAATTCATTACGCCTAATTAATGGAAATGATTTCAGAAAAAATGTCTAACTTTGGCATGAACAGTCTGGTGTAGTACTTTTTATGTAGAAAAAGTTTAGAGCATTTCAGATAAATATTTGTTAAGGTACTACACATGATACCTTAACTTGGTATTATGAGAAATAGAAACTAGAAACTATTGCATACCATGATGGCATGGTGGAACATGAAGGTATATTAGTGCATAATAATATCAAAATCAAGTTGTAGCCCAAATATTAACTACAACCGTTGAAGAAAATATCCCGTGGAATTCAAACTTTTTAGTTTGCCTTTCAATATTAGGAATTTAGGGTACGATGGTTATAGCCTAAACAATAACAGCTTGCTAAAATTTTGACAACATCTACTTTAGTCGCACCTAAATTTGGGGGGGGGGGGCGCAAACCGACCATACCCAACATTTGGTCCTAACTGGATGACCGGGCAATGTGGGATCATAGCTAAGACTTTTGCTAGTAGGTTTAAATATCATCTTCCTACAGAGATGCATAATGGAGATCGAGCTCCATGGATCCCTTTATTCAAAATTTTCAATTTTCAATTTTTTTAAGTTCCAAAATTTCTGAAAAAATACACATATACCTATGGATGTCTACTACTTGTCTGTGAAGTTTCATGAGAAATACTTTTTTATGCGAGCTTGATGACCCACAAGTATAGGGTATCTATCGTAGTCCTTTTGATAAGTAAGAGTGTCGAACCCAACGAGGAGCAGAAGGAAATGATAAGCGGTTTTCAGCAAGGTATTCTCTGCAAGTACTGAAATAAGTGGTAACAAATAGTTTTGTGATAAGGTAAATTGTAACGAGCAACAAGTAACAAAAGTAAATAAAGTGCAGCAAGGTGGCCCAATCCTTTTTGTAGCAAAGGACAAGTCGGGACAAACTCTTATAATAGGAAAAGCGCTCCCGAGGACACATGGGAATATTGTCAAGCTAGTTTTCATCGCG